GCATTGCCAGGTGCTAGGTTTTGATCAGCAGAAGGCTGAGCTTGTCCATCTCAAACAATTGGTTTCAGATCTAGAATTAGAGAAATCAAGAGTCTCCCGTCTCTTGTTGGATTCTGAGGAATATCTAAAAGACGTCCGTGAAGAATGTTCTTCCGTTTCTGCTTTAGAGGCTCAATTGTCTGAAATGCATGAATTTTCAATAGCTGCTGATGTTGGACTCACTTTCACAAAAGCTCAATATGAGACAAGGATAGAAGAACTAGAAAGGTATAACTTGACCGTTGCAGCACTGTTAGAGGAAAAAGAAGTTTTGATGGCGTCTTTACAGGATAAAACTCAAGAATCTTCCAGGCTTGCTCTCGAGCTTAATAGTTTGCAAGGGAGTTTGGTTTCTTTGCATGATGAGGTGCAAACAGAAAGAAATCTAAGGGATAGGTTAGAGAGTACAATTACAGAGCTCACTTCCCATTTGAATGAGAAGCATTGCCAGTTGCTAGGTTTTGATCAGCAGAAGGCTGAGCTTGCCCATCTAAAACAATTGGTATTGGATCTAGAACTAGAGAAATCAAGAGTTTCCTGTCTCTTGTTGGATTCTGAGGAATGTCTAAAAGACGTCCGTAAAGAGTGTTCTTCCATTTCTGCTTTGGAGGCTCAATTGTCTGAATTGCATGAATCTTCAATAGCTGCTGACGTTGGACTCACTTTCACAAAAGTTCAATATGAGATGAGGATTGAAGAACTAGAAAGGTATAACCTGACCATAGCAGAATTATCAGAGGAGAAAGAAGCTTTAATGGCGTCCTTGCAGAATAAAAATGAAGAATCTTCCAAGCTTTGTCTGGAGCTTAATAGGATGCAAGGAAGTTTGCTCTCTTTGCAAGATGAGTTGCAAACTGAGAGAAATCTCAGAGATAAGTCAGAGAGTAGAATTACAGATCTGGCTTCCCAATTGATTAAGAAGAACAGTCAGTTGCTAGATTTTGATCACCGGATGGCTGAGCTGGTCCATCTCAAAGAACTGGTATCGGACCTAGAACTAGAGAAATCAAGAGTTCTCGGTCTCCTGTTGGATTCTGAGAAATGTCTTAAAGACGCTCATGAAGAGTGTTCTTCTGTCTCTGCTTTGGAAGCTCAGTTATCTGAAATGCATGAATTTTCAATAGCCGCTGATGTTGGACTCACTTTCACAAAAACTCAATACGAGGCCGTGATCGAAGAGCTTTGTCAGAAACTGCACTTTTCAGATAGCCAAGTTTCTGAAATTCGCAACAATTTCCTTAATGTAGAGAATATGCTTAACAAATGTCTTGCTAGCGAAAGGCATTACCTTGAAGAGAACACCCAATTGATGACAAGTCTCAATTTCATTAAATCTGAGTTGGAAGCCTCCAGTGCTCAAAACAGGATACTTCTTGATGCAAACAGTGTTATGAGGACCGAACTTGAGGAAAACAAGAAAAGAGCTGAAAATATGGAGGATATTGTCCATATGGATAAAAGTCAGTCTGCTCTTGAGGTGGAAAGGCTGGAACATCTTCTAATGACTTCTGAAGAAGAGATTGATAACCTGATATTCTCCAAGGAAGAACTGGAAGTCAAAGCTTTAGTACTCAAAGCCAAGTTGGATGAACAGTCTGCTCAGCTAACCTTGCTGGAAGGATATAAGAATGAAATGGAAATGCTGCACGATAGATGTAGCGATCTAACACAGAAGCTTGCTCAACAGGTCTTAAAGACGGAAGAATTTAAGAACTTGTCCATCCACTTTAAGGATCTTAAAGACAAGGCTTATGCCGAGGGCCTCCATGCACAGGGTAAAAAAGAACCAGAAAGGCCACCAACTGCTATGCAAGAGTCTTTAAGAATTGTATTCATCAAAGAACAATATGAAACCAAGCTGCAAGAACTGAAACAACAACTTGCTATGTCCAATAAGCACAGTGAGGAGATGCTTTGGAAATTACAAGATGCAGTCGACGAAGTTGAGAATAGGAAAAAATCCGAAGCTACTCATGTGAAGAGAAACGAAGAGCTAGGAATGAAGATCTTGGAATTGGAGTCTGACCTACATTCATTACTTTCTGAAAAGCGTGAAATAATGAAAGCATATGACCTGATGAAAGCTGAAAAGGAATGCTCATTAATAAGCCTTGAGTGCTGTAAGGAAGAAAAACAAGAGCTTGAAGCATCTTTGCAGAAGTGCACTGAGGAAAAAGCTAAAATTGCTTTAGAACTCACCTCAGCGAAGGATTTACTTTCGAGCAGTTCATCATCTGTAAATTATCAGAAGGGCGCAGAGGAACCTTTGGTTAAGTTTTCTGAACTAGATGGAGCCAATGGTGAAGCATCTCAGCATGAATGCATGAGTTCCGTTGATGAAGCAGACCAGTCAAATGTACTCAACAATATAAACTCCAAGCAGGTAATTAACTGTTTTTATGAGGATTATGTATATTAGAGTAATTTGCTCCATTGATACCTCTAATTCTTTGTGCAAATATGTTGCACCCAGATGCTTATGCTAGCCTATATACGTTATGCATTATTCTTTTCCGTCAAGTTTTGGAAAAGTGAACAAAGATTGCTTTTTCATTCTGCCCTCTCTGAAAAGGTGTTTTCAGTTTGCTATTGTTTTCTGCTTTTTTCCATCATGGTGAGTTTGAATGGTTCTTCTGAAGTTGTAGTTCTTACCAGTACCAGTTGACAGTGCCACAACAAGTTGCTGCTCCAAATATTACCAAAGTAATAGCATTCCTATTTTATTTAGTGCTAGACCTTCTCTACACAATTCAGCTCCCTGCTATCACATTAAACACATTTCCTGGAAAGTATCACCACTAGAGTGAAATTCAAAGCACTTGACGGTGGCTAATATATTTGGTACGACCAGTTACTGTCAGTCCTCGGAGGTTTAAACTCCTTGTTCACAATTAATGTTGTCAACTTTTCCAAGAAATAATGGTGAAATCTAATTATGAAAGAAATTCTATTTTAGTCCAATCAGAAAAAAACATAAGTATGATCTATATAGTATGCTTGCCTAATTAGTTGTGAATGTGTTATCTTTCATAGCTCGCACCTTCTTCTTGTGGCCTCTTCGAACTTTACATAAAGTTCTCTTAGAGACAATAATAATTTGTGTGTAACTTGGTAATTGATTTTCTTAGGCTTCAAAATTTTGAAGTTCTCCTCTCTCTAGCAGAGGAATAGGATAGTCATTCTCTCAAAGAAAAGGTTTACTATGTTTTATTTTTAGATGTATTATATGTAGAAATTTTGGTCGCTGACAATATATGCACGTGATTGGACAGGATGATCTTGTATCCGGAGGTGTAAATGGGATCTCTGGTATAGTACTTTCAAAGCAAAGGGATATTCTTAATAGCGACATGAAGCATTTGGTTCTTGCCAATGAGAATTTTAAGGCCCAAGGCTTAAAGTCTAGCATGGAAAACTTAAATAAGGAGGTATGTATTTTGTATAATCACAAGTGAACAGATGCTTTTGTATTGCTACAGTTTTAACTTCTAAAGTTGGGGGGGGGGGGGAGCAGAACTGGATAATAATATCTCAACAGTGGTTCTAGAATTTTTAATCTGTATTATCTTGTTGCAGTTGGAAAGGATGAAACATGAAAATTTGCTTCTTTCCGTCGATGATCAACACCTTGAACCAAATTTTCCTGGTTTACATAGAGAGATTATGCAATTAAATAAGGTAAATAACAACTTATAATATAAGCGTGTCCTTGAACTGTATCATGTTTCATATAAAGCATGTCCTTGAACTGACTTCATGTTTCGGATCTTTGATTAGGTAAATGAAGAATTGGGAAATATATTTCCCTCCTTCAACGAATTTTCTTGCAGTGGCAATGCATTAGAGAGGGTGCTAGCTTTGGAAGTTGAACTTGCTGAAGCATTGCAGGCAAAGAAGAAATCAACTATCCAGTTTCAAAGGTACATCTTAAGTGAGCAAATTATCTATTTCGTGTTTAGATGCATGTCAACTAGAACCTTTGCAGCGGTTATGGGTAATGTCTTTTCGGCTTTTCGGCTTTGGTGTATTTTGTGTTTGCATGGGATCACAAGGCCCTGCTAAATTTGTCATTTATGAACCATAAGAATTTCATAATGTACTTCATCTATTGATTTTTGGACTTTTAGGGACTTTTAAGGGGGGAAAAGGTGGTTATTTTAAGTTCAGCAGAACTAGGAATACACGAGTTTAATAATTAACATGACACCCTCCTTTGTTCCAGTTCTTTCGTGAAACAACACAGTGATGAGGAAGCAGTGTTTCACAGCTTCAGAGACATCAACGAGCTAATCAAAGACATGCTGGAGATTAAGGGAAGATATGCTACCGTGGAAACGGAACTCAAAGACATGCATGACCGTTACTCCCAGTTAAGCCTTCAATTTGCAGAGGTCGAAGGAGAGAGACAAAAACTAATGATGACTCTCAAGAATGTCCGAGCGTCAAAGAAAGCCCTATACTTGAATCGCTCCTCAACATCCCCTTTTCTGGACCCTTCGTAATAGTCACTGTAGCCATCCATTCTCGTTTGCGAAGAGATAGCCCTTTACGGGGTTGAGAATTGATGGTCCGACATGCCTTGCTGCACCATGTTATCGTATATGTGAAAGGTGAATAATGTATGGGCCAGTTAGCCGCTAGCTGTGAAACTTCACGATGTTGAAATGTGGTATCGAAGGCTCAGCAGCAGTGTAAATAGAAACCTCTGCTGGTTTGTGCAACTGGTTTATAGTATCACAGGTACAGAACCCTGTTACGAACCCTTCATTTTCGGGTTGCTGGGAGAATATGTTGTAGTTCTGCCATATAGTCAATCAAATTTTGTCATATTTATTCAAACATCGAAAGATATTGCATTTTCTCCCCATACATCCCTTCTACATACCAATTTCATTTGGGAGAGGACAAGACTTGCAAAGAACATGTAACTCAAGTGATTACGAGCATTCAAGACAAAAATCTACAGGTGAATGAAAAATGCTCTTGAACCAATAGAAAACAAATTCTGCTTTACAATAAGCTCGCGAATCAATCAAATCAATATGTTCGTTTGCTTTTTTTTCTTTTACACTTGTATTCATTGATGCCAGAAAAACAGAAGAAGCTCCTAATGCGTCAATATGGTCCTTTTCTCAGTAACAAATCACATGCAATAACGAACTATAACGCGTTTTACATACGGACACGATAAGATTCAAAGTAACAAAAGTCTGATGAATCCATGAATTTCTTGATGCTACTTCTGACCGCCCGGTAACTGAGATTTGAACTGCATCCCATCAGCAACACATGAGAAGACACGGAAAACAATAACAGACTGCAGGAGCTCCACGAAGCTTGTTACCAGAAGCTACAATATTGAACATGAACATCGAGGCTGCTCTGGAGAATCATTCATCAATTTATCTGTATAAAAATGCAATTGTCAAAGTGTCAATTCCTTGTTCCGGAACCTTTTCTTTTGTTTTGGTAACATAATCCTATATCGAAGCATTACATAACATTAACGTCAAAGCATCGCATATATCAAGATTCATATACTTTTCTGCTAGCCATAATTTCATCTACTAAAAATTATTGAAAAGAAGGAACGGTCTACGGATATTGTTTATTTGGGAAGAGTATATATAATAGCAGAATGATAGCACACAGGAAAAACCTAAGGCGGCAAGGTATACAACAAGGGAGGGAAAGGACCAGAGGCCCAGTTAAAAAACAAGCATACAAAACAAATACAAATGAAAAAGAGCCTATCCTGCTTTATTGGTTGGAGCTATTACGAAAGACAACACGTGTGCTCAGTTAAGGAACAAACATAAAAAATAAAGACAAATTGTGTCATGTCATTCAGAAACTGCACTTACGAGAAGTAGCGTGAGAAATTAGTTATGGACGTAAGACTACATCCAGATTCTAGCATGTGTGCTCAGATCAAGAAATTGAGAGGAACCAGAAGCAAGATACCTTGCTGCTGAATTCCTCAGAAAGAGCTATGTTCATAAGAGATTGATGCATAACAATTATGAGTCTTAAAAAAATCGGTTTCCAATTGGGGGTTAAACACTCATGAAAACTACCAAGATGTCAGATACTTAGGGGAAGAGGCTAGTCAAGATAACAAACTCAACAAAGAGCATGTGCTACAAGATATATCCAACATAACCGCAAATATTCAGGCTGAAAGAAAAACAAAACCGCAAGCTAGTCTAGTAAAACATAAACATAATTACCATTCTTTTTGTCTGCAATAGGAGGGCGCACAACCACGTGCATAGTGATGAGACTTCCAGGGAGTTCACCAACTGGATTTCTGGAATCAGCAAGTGTCCTGTTGTTTTCCAGTATCTTTCCCGCATTAATAAGCTTCAAATCATTTATTGTCCTTGGACCATTTTCTTTCTCTATCAAACAGATTACATTACATGAGAAAAAATATAAGTCAATCTCAAACCAAAGCACAATGGTGCGATCATAAAGCAACCAAAGTTTCATTACTTCTGTCAAAATGTCGGCTTTGTCTGCAATTTTTTCAATATTCTGTTTGCTCAGTGCAAGAGGCAAACACATGATATGTCTAATTACCAACATCAGCAACATATATGCAACAACTATGACTAACACGAACATACACTTTCATAATATATGACTGATAAAAGCAACGACAATTTCCAAAAACATATGAGTAACTTGAGCATACACTTTCAAGAACAACAAAGAACTCCGTCATCTGACTAACGTTTTTCAATATTATGTTTTTGGATTATGCTCAAGTTAGTCATCTGTAGAAGCTAGTCATATGTTATAATGCAGTAACAAATAAGTACATTCATAACATAATCCAGAGCCATGACTAACTTGAGCATACACTTTAAAAAACGATTAAGAACTCCGTCATAATTCATTTGTATCATTTTCAGACCGTCACCCAAGATTATATCAACACTGAAGGACATAGAGCCTCAAATTTCTTGGACAATGGCACAACAAGCATGATAAAATCAACAACAATTTCCTCACAACATTTTCAATACATAACAATAATAATAGAGCAACATTATCTTATTTCAACAATTTTGGGCAAAATATCATAAAACAAATGTGATATGCACAAAAGCTCTCAAGAATCCCAACCCAATGATACAAAAAGCGAAAGAACCTCAAAAAATATAAGTTGTGCAACAATATAAAATAAAATGAAAATTTAACAGAAGAATTAATTAGGATAAAAAGAAATAAACCTTTAGGCCATTGTGCAAGTATTTTCTCCTTGAGTGATTGTACAGTGGTAGATGGGCTATACTTCTGAGGTCCTATGTCGGTCCCATCAAATAGCCTGAATTTCAGCTCAATCAAATCTTGACCTGCCGCCATTGATGAACGTTCCAATCCAGCAAAAACCCACCTATCAATTTCTCATACCACTCTCCAAGAACCAGAATAAAACCGCCACAAATGGCAGAATCAAAGAAAACCCAGATCAAATCTGATCAAGATTCACACTTTGATTAAAACCCAGAAGTGTAAAAGCTCAAATACCCATGAAAGAAGCAAGCTTTTTTTTTTTTTTTTTTTTTTTTTATCGATAAAGCATAGATTTGTATTGAAGTTGCAGTAAAAAGACACAAAGTTCTTGGTGATGGAAACCCAAAAGGCAGTGACAGATTAGAAATCTGTGAAATGAATCCAGAGAGAAAGAGAGGAAGAAGAAGAAGACAGCTCCCTTGAATTGCTTGATGTAGAAATTAAGAAAGTAGAAAGTGTGCCTAAAACGATCTGAGTTAGATTTTTCACCTGAATTAACACAAATTTCAGAAATTGCCCACGTCTTATATTTGTAAAATTACTTTCACTTTTTATGACATGTAATTGTTTGGATGCATTTTTTGATAACTGGTAGTTGTTATTAATCTACTAAGATTATGTTGTTATTAATCTACAATTGTCATCTATAAAATTTAGAGATATGCATTTCGTTAATATTGAGATAAAATGTGTAAATTTTCTTATACAAATGTTATTTTATTTTAAATTTATCCAATTATGAGAATATGGGTTTAAACTTGTGTGTAAAAAATAAAAGCACACGACTTTAGCTAAGTTGACCAAATCCATATTTGCAACAAGGACTAGATGGTTAATTAAATAGAAATTGGATTATGATACAATTGTCCTTCAACTTGAAATAATTAGATTTAATATCTTGATATTAGAGATGTTCAATTCCACAATTAATAATTGAAAGATAGGAGGATACTTTGTCCAATGTTTTTCCGTCTTTGGTTTAGTAGTAGTTGTCTTCGCTTATGTTAGGTTAAGTGTTTTAAATTTGACTCATATGAACGTGAGAGTGATATTATATTGTGGTTGTGTTGGTCCATCTTAAAAGCATTTTTCCTCAAAAAGAGTGGTTAATTTATGGGAGGAAACCAAATAGGAACCTGGTCAGAGATGTGAAGTCAACTTTGAATAGTTCAAGTAGTTAATCATATAATTATTAATTTTTTAGTACAATGATATATAGTTAATAAGATAATTATTAAGTAAATGTATTTTCTTAAGCAGCTATCTTAAAATCTGTTGGTGTTGGTAGAAGTAGGCAGGCCTCTTGCTTCTCCTTGCTTGGCTTTGGTTTTGTTTGGTTGGATGTTAGTGATTTGGTCTCTCTTAAAATCTTTTTGCCTAATTGCCTCTATGGTAGGCAACTTGGCACCATTTTTAAAGCATGTAGTAGGAAAATGACACATTATTTTTCAACACTCATTCTTTCATTTTTGGTTATTAAATTAAATAAAATTAAACAAAAACAACGAACAAAGATTAAACAGCGACGTATAAGAAGCGAAAAATAGCGTGATCGTCATTGAGTTGATGTAGATGAATAATCTCTCTTCACTATTAGTAATAGAAAAGATGGATGGAGAATGTTAAATAATGGGGGATTTAGAATCCAGCATATTTTTAAAGATGAATTGCAAGCAAGGTTCTAAAGACGTTAGGTGCTAGTTGGGCAGCGGGCTGCGACTTAGGGCCTAGACGGTTTGGGGGGACTTAGGCCTGGGCCTAGGCATACTAGGCGGATTTAAGTAAATTTATTATACATTGTATAAATAGGTTCTTATTTATACTTCTATGGGGAGGCATAAATTGCAAAATAAAATGAACTATAAATTATAAGGTATTAAAACATATTGAGAAATGGGGAACAAACATATAATGGGTGTTCATTAGAGTATTCAACAAATATCTTACATTTTATTTATAAACTGCAAAATGAAAGATATCAATTTTCTGTATAAGTGAGTTGCGACCTAGGCGGGTTAGGCGGACACTTGGGCAGGCTATGTAGACGCCTAAGCATGTCTAGGTCCCTTTCTTAATTTCAAATGCCTAGGGATTAATCGGGATGGTAGCTAGCTACCTAGTGCCTAGGCGGAGATTTTTAGAATAGTGCTTGCAAGTGGTCCTCTACCACAGTGATGGAGAGGAGTGTTGCCCTTGCACCATAGTGGTTAGAACCCCCGTCGTCTCCCTAATCTAACATCTAATCTAAAAAATCTATCGTTTGATAAAAAAACAAAGAAAAAAAAGAAGAAGATGACTTGAACCATATGTGACTTGGTTCATGGGAAGCATCTAATTTTAGTGTTTCCTCAACATCAATATTTGTCACGTTGTTATTGAATTAGTCAATAATGTCACCCTAACTAACCTATTCTGATCAAAATCATGGAAGGCAACCACTTTGAGGATAATGTTTTCTTGGGCAGATAATATTTTGAAAAGTAAATGATAAATACGGACTTGAGACTGGTTTTGGAAGGGCTGCTGACTAAAAGCGTTTTTAATATGTTTGACAGAAAAGCTTAAAAGTTACGGGTCATAAGATTGGTTCATGAAGCACTTCACTCGGATTTTCAATAAAAGTTTCAATGAAGTTCTAATAAAAGTACTTGTAATAAAAACGCGTATGAGCATACGTGTTTTGTATAGATGCAGTCCCAACTGTGTTGTAACACTATCTGGTAAGTACTTTTGATAGGATTGTTCTAAAGTTGTACAACTATATTCAATCAAATTTACATGATCTTTTTCTTTTTCCTTTTCACGGGAATACATGATCGAGCAAATGGACACCAAGTTAGGAAGATTCAATGTCGCGGGCAACATACATTATTCTGATATATGCTTATTAATGTAAAGCATGTGCTTATGTATGCAAAGTGCACCACTTATCAACTCAACTCAATCTTCGCACGCCATACAGCTCGCCCGTATAGATTCAACGAAGGGAATCTCAGCCTTGTGCTAAAGATCAAGAACTTGACAGCCAACCAATTCACCTGAACCAAAATCCCGAGTCCCAATGATCTTCCACACAACTGCGTCTGATTCTGCCGGTGCGTCGGAGTGTTCATCTGAGGAGCTAGCCAGGAGAGGAGCTAAGGTTGGTGACAAAGAACCCAAATTACAGCACAGGTCAGCACGCAGAACTGCGATTTCATGATTCGCATCTTTTGTAATGACATGAAGTTTTCCATGAAAACCAGCAAGTAAATATGGAGAATCTGAACCAGCAAAGTCATGAATAGGGACTTTTCCTATAACAACTTTCCAAGCATCTTCTCCTTGATCGTACACCTTGATCTTACCACTATCCAAAGAACTCGAAGGATCAAAAGCATACAATTCACCATCTACCACAACGCTCAACTTTGTACCAGCCTGCCGAGCAGGCCAACCATCTCCCATGCCAAGAGGCATTTCATCCCAAGAATTTGTTTCGGGATCATAGATTTCTCCCCCGACATCAACAAAAAAGGGCCATGAATACAGACTCTGGGATACACATAGCCTTCCCATGTAGGGAGTCAACCCGGTGGCAATGGGCCTTAGCATGTCAGTCAAAAAGGCAGTGGGTAGCGCTCGAGCCCTTGAGAATGGCATGCTTGGTACTTCAGACCATGTACCGGTGGAGGGCTCAAAAACTTCAGCAGACTGAAGAGGGATCAATCCGCCTCGTTCCCGAGTAACCCCTCCAACAACATAAAGTTTGTTATTCAGAATACCTGTCTTACAATAGGCTCTACTTGCAGACATGGCTGTCACTTCACTCCATGCATTCTGAATTGGATCAAATCTCCAGACGCACCTCACGGTCGTAGCTTTATAAAATCCACCTAGAACATAAAGGCATCCATCAACAACACCAATGGCACAACCACAAAACGGCATTTGTTCAAATGCGTTCTTTCTCCCTAACCAGCCTCTAATAGTATGAGCAATTTTGATGCTTGGGCCCACCATATTCCACATCGAAAACCTAGAAGAACTCTTGCTGATTTCTTCTTCATAAACTACATTGGGCATCTGAGGTAGCCTCTGCCACCTTCTTGACAGGGGATCTAAAGCATGCCAGGAAAGTTTATCCTCTTCAATTTTCGTCAACAAGTAGAGCCATTCTTCACTTCTACCAAGTTCTTTTCTCAATTTAAATAGTTCAGAGCTAGTAACAGTTTCCTTCCACTTCCGGGAAACCAGCCTGATATTGAAGTAGCAAATTCTAGGGAGTCTAGCAATAATTTGGATCGATAGCTCATCAGGAAGAGTGGGAATTAGTCTTTGGCTCTCCTCAAAAGTGCATGGTGACGTTTTTTGCCTCTTGCAGGTGTCATTCTGAGAGATCTCATGGTACTCATTTCTCTCAGACTTGGGACCAGCCAAACTCAAAAGAGCCCCCATCAGAAACTGCAAAGATCAGTAAATCTCAGTGATCACACGACTCTTTTTAGTCCCACAGTTGGGACCAGCCAAACTCAAAAACAACCACATAGTTGACTTAGCCTCATGGAAGCAGAAATTATTCATTCTACTTTCAGTTGATCAATTCCAAAATAAAAGGACACACGCACACCAGAACTGGGATCAGCGAACCTAAAGAAACGAGGCCAAATTTGACTTTAATCCAAGTTCTGCAAAATTATTCATTCTACATTCAGTTCGAGAATGCAAAAGGCTAAATGAACACGCATAAACAGCTACAACAAGCTAAATTCACGAGGCCAGTTCCAAAGTTATCAAACCGGATGCGATATGAAACTTGTGCACATTTGGCTCCAAAGTTAACAAAAGGCATCCCACATGCTGTTGACTGATATGGACTAAATTTCGTGTTGCTTCTCATGGAATAACCCAAAAAAATTAACTCCAAAGATCACTGAAACCCCTCCTCTAAAAATTACCTTCACACTCTCCCCACAAACAAGCATTTACTTTCATCCCAATATTTACAGCAAACCATCACCAATATTTATAGCAAAATTCAACCTTGACGTATAATTACCAACTACTCAAAAACCCCATGAAAATTTCAGCATAAAAAATTTCACTATTCCAGGAAATGAAAAGGAAATACATATAATCCACTGAAATTCAGCCTATGAAACTTCAAACAGCTATAGAAATTATAAACTCCCACAAACAAAATCTTAAAAACAACAATAAAAATTGAATCTTTCCCCTAAAACCACCAAATTGCGGACAAATTTTGAACAAGGGTAGGTAAATAGTCGTAAGAATTCACATTGATAAAAAAAAAAGGAAAAAGAGAAATTCGGTATGCATCAGAATTTACCTGTCCAGAGAAAAATCTGAAGCCTCAGAGGTTTGGTAAGGTGCTCCTTTTTGTTGAAGCTTGATCTGCTGCGTCCTAATAAGGAAAGAGGAGGACAAGACTATTTGGAGTTTACTGGGTAACGCCGCGTTGTCCAAGCTGATTTTTCATTCACCATTTTTCTGCTTGATGATATTAGAGAAAGACTATAGTCTGGTACATAAGGTTAGACTGTCACTTTCAACAAAAAAAGTAAATAGCATTCATAGCAAGCTTCGTAATATTCCAACCACCAATAATTTAGTCATTTATTCTATGGGACGTATTTGACTGACTGAATGATGTACAAGATCATATGACACTACTTTTGTTTTCGTGGCAAAGAATGTGAAATTATTTTGAAGCTTTACAACATAACAAAGATGAAATGTCATAAATTAATGAGTGCATCCTAGAAGGACGAACCATTGTCCAACACAAACAACTTTAAAGTATTGTTGCATATCTTAAAAGTCTTTGATCCAGATTTCCTAAAAAAAAAGTCTTTGATCCTTAGCATTTCGTGTGCCAACAAATGCCTTCAGTTTCAGTTCGGCCTTCCATCATGGGATCCGTTAAGGGTAGGGTGTTGTGATTGCGTATGGATGACAATTCTAACCGTTAAACCGGATAATCGTGGATAATCATCCGAATGGATTGAGTTTGGGTATAAAAATTCAAGTATATTTTGGATATGAGGAAAAACCGTGATTATTATTCGGTTATGATTTTGGATATGATTATATGCATACCCAATCCATATCCATAACCAAATCCGAACATATTATATATATATATTATTCACCAATCCATTACCTTGAGAATACAAAAATTGTATTGTGTAAGTTGCATTTTGTGGAAAAGTTCAAAAGTTTTAATATGAATCAAAATCTATGAGAATTCAATGCTACTTATGACAGATATAAAAAATCAAACCAACATTATCAACGTTTATCTTTAATTTTTATGCTTCACAAGATCCATTCATTAAATCATTTTATACATCGAATATTTAATGACGAAATTAATATTTACTAAATTATCATGCGTTAATTGAATGAATATATATTTTTTTATTGACGAAAATTGATATAACCGTTAACCGATGGAGAATCCATTATTCGATGGGTATGGTTATGGATAATACCCGATAGTTAATTTGCAATTATGAATATAATTAGTTTTCGTGGTTATGAGGATGATTATAACATTTCTGTCCCCAAACCGAACTGTTGCCATCTCTATGGTTGCGTCTAGAGAGGGACAATCAAGTACAAATAAATCAAGTTTTTATTAATTTGGTTGTTGAAAAAGTGATTTAATTTGCTTTGTTGAAGAGTGTGAATTAATTTGCCTATTATATAAATACCTAAATTCAATCTTCTCTAATAGCAATTAAGCGAAATGCTAATGAGACTCTCTTAAAACTAGATAGACTCTCACTTTTGGGAGAGTCTAACTAGCATTTCTCTGGCAATCAAAGATGTTGTGAAGAAATGTTCATTGAATCAATACCTCCTTAGTCATTTTTTGGAATTGACTCACGTGGGTTAGCGTCAAAATTTGGCTGCTGCGTGATATTTGCTATTGGATTGATGAGATCGGACGCGTGCCTGTTTGATGTTTTTGTAGTTTACATTATAATGTATTTAGTTTTGGAGACCGTCCTCTTTCGAGGAAATTGATCAAGCCTTTAATTTTGGATCTACGATCCTCCTCAATCATTTGTACCTAAATTACTTGTCTTTTCTCGTTACTTAGTAGGTGAGAGGTTTTATGTTTGATTTTTACCAAAAATAAATTTAAACCACATTATTGTTAACTCATTGTGAGGCTTAGGCAACTACTTTCCGTGTAAACAATATCATTTGTTTAATTTTTCTTTTTGAAACAAGTACGATATTCATTAAAACAAATCAGAATTCGTACAAGCTGAGAATAGTGTGCTAAATGGGTCTCGATAAAAACCTTGTCCGGACTTTCAATCCGGTCTAAGGAAAAGAGTGTCCTGCACAATGAAAAAACTATCATCAAATGAACAATAGAAAACAAGAATACATTCCTTCCTCAAATAACAGATCTTGAATCAAATCCGGAGGCACCTCAAACCACAACACCTCCTGAAGATAATTGAGCCCCATCCGAGCAAGACGATGCGCAACTGAGTTGGCTTCCCTCTGAACATGTCCACACTCCACAAAAGGCAGGGCTGCTAAGGCAGGGCGAGAAGACTTCTGCTAAGGCAGGGCTGCTAAGGCAGGGCGAGAAGACTTCTCCACAAAAGGGAGATCCATAAGAAGACTTCTCAAATCGTTAATAACAGGCCCCTACACGGACACATCCTTTTCTCGCCCTGCCTTAGCAGCCAACACTACAGTTGGCAGTACCAGTTGACATGGTGTTCAGAACTGAGGCATGCTTCTGCTTGAAGAAATACACAAGTCTGCATAGAACGAAGCAGCAAATTAAAGCAGCCCCGGGAAAGCAGAAATGGCATAAACCAGATATGGTGAGAGTAAAGTGCAATTTTAACGGTGCTTGGGAGGCTTTGGAGTGGTTGTGAGGGAAGAGAAGGGTGAGTTTCTTGAGGCTGTTGCTGGACGTCGAGGGTGGGGGTTCCCTTCTCCTTTGCATGCTGAAGCGGTGGCAGCAATAAGGGCTGTGCTTCTGCTGCAGGAATTGCATGTTTGTGCTACAATGTTAGAGGGGGACTCACTGCTTATCCTTGCTGCTCTACAACAATGGGAATAAGATCATTCCAGTGTGGGATCCATTGTTAATGATGTTCGGTATTTTATAAAATTGATTCCACAATCCAGGTTGGGTCATGTTCGTCGGGAAGCTAATGTTGTCCCTCATAGGCTAGCCTGGTTTGGTGTTGGATGTGATCAGGATGCCACTTGGTTCGATGAACTCTTCCCCTTCGACAGCATTGAAATCCCCCACAAAATTTTATCAAAGGCCCGTCTGACGCACTCTATCTTCTCTCGTGTACCGAATTGTTCAATCTATAAATGAATATCGTCCTCATTCTTAAAAAATAAAAATAAAAATCTAACAATACAGGTAAAGGATACATTTTTAGCATCTAATCATATATCGAAGATCCTAAACATTAGGGACATAGAAGAGATATCCATCACACAAGAATTAATGAACGTGGTTCGGGGTAAAATCTCTTCAATGTAACAAAAATCATGGCAAAAGTAGCATGTGCGATGGTCAACTCAACAGTTGTTTTTTTTTTCATTTGGCTTTTCGACACTCCCGTTGATGAACCCCAATTTATTCTTGGCGCTCAGTGGGATGGTCATAGAACGGCACCCTTTGCCCTAGTTGTTTGGCGGAAACAAGCATCAACCAAGGTAATCTGAACGATGGATGCAAAATGGGCTAGAGAAATCAGTTCCCTACTTGCATTTTTCAACTCTGCTGTGAGACATCTTCACTGCTGTTCTAAGGCATCTTCATTATTGATTTGATGCATCTTACCGATGATTTGGTTATTATAAAACATCTTAATTGGTTCCATTAAGTTGTCAAGTTATAACACAAGGATACTGAAGAATAAATATCGAATATGCATAGTAAATAAGTGTTGCAGACTAATTTGCATAACTAATAAGTAATCTTAGTTCTAACACACCATCATCATACAAGGAAGTTACTGCAGTACCGGTCTCCCTTAGATAACTGCCAAAATTTTTGCTTTAGGCAACATTCAATTAGCATTGGAAAAAAAAAAAAAAACCATAAATTACTCTTGAGTTTTGAAGAGAGCATATATGCAGCTAATTACTGCAGTGAGTGTGGGAAGAATGGAGGACACAGGCCAATGATGAGGTCGTCGGACAAAGTCAGCTGTACTCACTACTACACACTTACTCGTATTCACTTACGTTGTCATATATATTGTGGAATTGGAGCCAACCATTTGGCATCCCCAATAAATTAACGACAACAACAAATTCATATGAATATGAATATCGTCCTGCTCCTAAATTGGACCACTGTTGGCATCCCCAATAAATTAACGACAACAACAAATTCATATGAATATGAATATCGTCCTCCTCCTAAATTGGACCACTTACCTCATCGCCCGTACATCATGTATATGTATTATTGGAAGTGATGTACTGGACATTGGAAGTGATGTAGACGTGAGTTGCAGCTGTCACTTTTGGACATTGGAAGTGACGTAGATGTGATGTATTGCTTCTTCAACACACAATCACATGTGTGAGTTGCAGCTATCACTTTTCCTTTGTCCCTTAATTTGCTCCTTAATTCATGGTCTTGTGTTTCATTGAAACTTGTAAGTAGGGTTAGCTAGATTATTTTTTGGTTCTTTATATGGTCTAATATCAAGCTTTGTCTATAGGCCTTTAAGCCACTCTCAAGCTCTATATAAGAGCTTCTCCCTTGTACTTGTTTTCTCATGATGAATTATACAAATAGTTGAAACTAAAAGTTCAATATGGTATCAGAGCATGAACCATAGGGTCCTGTCTTTGTTGTTTTTTTTCTTTAGTTCATTTTTCCTTCTGTTCATCATTTGTTAAGATGGCAGAAGACAATCCATTCGGTTATGAGAATACAAGTTCCCCAACACCAACCAACATGATACACGGTGAGATCAATCCAAACCAACGACTGTGCTCAGTATTGTTGAATGAGTTCAATTATTTGCCTTGGTCACGAGTCGTCTCTTTTGCCCTAGGAGGAAGATCGAAGCTAGGGTACGTAAATGGAACCATCAAGCCTCTAGAATCCACCTCACTCTCTTTTGATGTATGGCACTCAAATGATCAGCTCGTAATGTCTTGGATTCTCAACTCGATGGAGCCCAAGTTGTCGGAGCTCTTCAGCTATTCAGGATCTTCACACCTACTATGGGAATCTGTTAAGGAAATGTATGGCAACCAAAACAATGCTGTCCGTGTATTTGAACTGAAGAAGAGTCTTGCTGGCCTAAAACAAGGTGACCAATCCTTCGTTCAACACCTTGGAAGCTTGAAATCTATGTGGAATGAGCTTGATTTATACCGTCCACACACAACCGAATCCGTTGTGCTCTTGAAGAGGGCTAATGAAGATAAAGCGTTTCAACTGTTAGCAAGCTTGGGAGCTGAGTATGAAGATCTTCGTAGTCATTTGCTAATGACCCCAGAATTACCATCATTCATCAGCGTGTGTCATGTAGTTCAAAGGGAAGAAACTCAAAGAAAGGTAATGCATATTGAGCCCAAGTTTAGCTCTGAGGCTAGGGTTTTCACTAGCAACCACAAAATTTTTGGTGAAAGAGTTTTAATGGGAAGAAGGCTGACTGGAAGTGCACATATTGCAACATTAAGGGGCACCTACGGGAAAAATGTTGGATCTTACATCCTGAATTAAAACCTAAGTTTGACAAGGAAGGAAAAATGATCAAAGATGGGAAAGGGTTTGCTCCAAAAGCCCTTCGTGCAACTAGTTGTTCAGCTGATGAGATGGCAAACTTCACTTCAAATCCGATTTCCTTGATTAATGAATTTGCTGCCATTCTCCAAAGAAAGAACAGGACCACTGAGAATGAAAAGATGATCACTGAAAACTCCACTGCCATGCTTGGAAAATTCGTTGGCTTCTTGGCAGGTTCAGATTCCACAATGCACGATAATATCCCAGGTATTGTCAGTGCACTCTCCACTGCTTTCAATGCACATCTCACACATGATTTTTGGATTGTAGACTCAGGTGCCACTGATCATATAACTAATAAAACATCTTGTCTACATGAGTTTCAAAAATTAACTGATCCTACTCATGTATCTGTAGCAAATGGTAAAGGGGAACCTGTTCTAGGAAAAGGAAAAATTAGGTTGATAAGTAATGATGTAGAGTCCACTGCACTTTACGTACATTCATTTCCATTCCAGCTTTTATCCATAGGAAAAATCACGCACACTTTGGATTGCCTTGCCATATTTTCTCCTCATAACGTTGTGTTTTAGGATCGAGTCATTCAGAAGAAGATTGGTGAAGGGTTCTTCTTAAATGGTCTATACTACCTCTCAAAGAAGTTCAATCTTGTTAAGGATCCCATTGCCAACCTAAGTCATGCATAGGAGTACCAACTTTGGCACCAACGTCTCGCTCATCCCTCAGAACCAGTGATGTCTAAGTTATTTCCAAATTTTTGTAAAAGTACACATGAGTGCGAGACCTGTCAAATGTCAAAATCCACTAGGCTGCCTTTTGTATCCTCTCAGTCTAGAACCAGTAAGCTTTTTGAAGTTGTCCACTCAGATATTTGGGGAACTTCTTGTGTTGAGTCATTCGATGGATACAAGTATTATGTCACTTTTATTGATGATTATTCTAGGGTTATTTGGGTGTATCTTTTAAAGTTTAAAGGTGATTTTTTTGAAGCTTTCAAAGAATTTCACAAACTAATAACCAATCAATTCGCCTCTAAATTATATACCTTAAGGTCAGATAATGGCACCGAGTATACATCCAATAACATGTCCAATTACTTGAGCAATCATGGCATCGTACATCAAACTAGTTGTGTTGGTACACCACAACCAAACGGTGTAGCTGAGCGAAAGAATAGGGATTTGTTGGAGAAAACAAGGTCCTTTATGTTTCAGATGCAAGTTCCCAAGAGATTCTAGTCCCAAACACTTCTCACTACAACCTACATCATTAACAGACTTTCAACTCGTGTGTTGAATGCTAAGTCACCTTTTGAAGTCATGAAAGGAAGAATCGTCGATTTGACTCATCTCAGGATCTTTGGATGTACTTGTTATGTCCACATCCAAGCTACTCATCGTGATAAACTAGAACCTAGAGCTGTGAAATGTGCATTTATGGGGTACTCTAGTTCTCAAAAGGGATACAAATGTTATAACTCACACACTGGGAATCTTGTTGTCTCTAAGGATATTCGATTTGATGAACTCACTCCTTTCTTTCACAAGGATTCTGAGAATAATCCTCAGGGGGAGAGTCTAATGGACACCTTTCCACTGCCTACTCCTGGAGAAATTCATGCAAACCCCCCAAACCCTATCATTAATTCCAACATTGATGAGGTGGTCCAACACCACAACCACAACCACAACCACAACCACAACCACAAGCTGCAACTCCACAATCAGTAGTAGCACCAAGAAGGAACCCTGCTCAAGATCGACATCCCCCGTTAAGGTTACAAGAGTACGTTATGTACTCTACAAGGTACCCTATCTCTGAAGCTATTACTTACCAATTGTCGGCCTCCCATGCATTATTTCTCAACCAATTGTCAAACAATCTTGAGCCAAGAAGCTTTCAAGAAGCCGTATGTACGCCTATGTGGCAAAAAGGCATGCATGAAGAGCTCAAAGCATTAGATGAAACTGAAACTTGGAGTGTGGTTGATCTTCCTAAAGGCAAGAAGGCTGTAGGGAGTAGATGGATATACAAGACAAAATTCAATTCCAATGGTACCATTGAGAGACACAAGACTCGATTGGTAGCCCGTGGTTTCACAAACCTACGGTATTTGATTACAAGGAAACTTTTGCCCCGGTTGCCAAAATGAACATAGTGAGGGTATTGCTATCAATGGTAGTTAATCACGAGTGGTCCTTATTTCAAATGGATGTAAAAAATGCTTTCCTCCATGGTGATCTTGAAGAAGAGGTGTACATGAAGCTACCTCCTGGACACCCACGAGAAGGTGAACCTAACAAAGTTTGCAAGCTCCATAAGGATATATATGGACTCAAACAATCCCCTCGAGCTTGGTATTCCAAACTGAGCTCAGTTCTTGAAGTTGCAGGGTTCAAAAGAAGTCATGCTGACTTCTCCTTATTTATTTGCAGTGGTGTCCTAGGCTTGCTATGCTTATATATGTGGATGATCTTATAATTACGGGGGACAATGTGAATGAAATCAATGCTCTTAAGTGCTCCCTACATCAACAATTTGCCATTAAAGACTTGGGAGTCTTGAAATACTTTCTTAGCATTGAGATGGCCACTTCTTCCAAGGGGTTATTCTTAAATCAAAGAAAGTATGTAGTTGATCTTCTTAATGAAGCACACATGCTTGAGTGTAAACCTGATCGCACTCCTCTTGTTAGCAAACTTCAGTTGGATGCCAAAGGTGAGCCTCTCTCCAATCCTGGTGTTTATCAACGCATGGTTGGAAAACTTATTTACCTCACGATTACTCGACCTGACATTGCTTATTCAGTGAGCCTTGTCAGCTAGTTTATGCATTATCCTACATCGGTTCATTGGGAGATTGTCAAGATAATACTTAGATATCTCAAAGGTTCAGTCGGTAGAGGCATACTCATGAAGAAAAATGGGTCTAATCACATCATGGCTTACACTGATGTTGATTGGGCTGGTAATACCCTTGATCGAAAGTCCACCACAGGTTTTTGTACTTTTGTTGGAGGTAATTTGGTCACTTAGAAGAGTAAGAAACAAACCGTGGTTGCAAGATCCAGTGCTGAAGCTGAATATAGGGCCATGGCAGCAGCAGCTTGTGAACTCATATGGTTAAAGAGTCTTCTATTTGATCTTGGCTTCACCAGCAAGGAACCAATGTCGTTGCTTTGTGACAACTAGGCCGCAATGCATATTGCTTCTAATTCGGTATTTCATGAAAGGACGAAGCACATTGAAGTTGATTGTGATTACATTCGTACACAAGTTCAATCCAATGTCATCAACATTGTGTAGACTAGAAGCCATGATTAACTTGCTGATCTCTTCACGAAATCTCTAGACTCTACACAATTTCAACAGTTGTTGTGCAAGCTTGGATCAATTAACCCTCTTGATCCAGCTTGAGGGGGGGTATTGGAAGTGATGTACTGGACATTGGAAGTGATGTAGACGTGAGTTACAACTGTCACTTTTGGACATTGGAAGTGATGTAGACGTGATGTATTGCTTCTTCAACACACAATTACATGTGTGAGTTGCAGCTGTCACTTTTCCTTTGTCCCTTAATTTGCTCCTTAATTCATGGTCTTGTGTTTCATTGAAACTTGTACGTAGGGTTAGCTGGATTATTTTTTGGTTCTTTATATGGCCTAATATCAAGCTTTGTCTATAGGCCTTTAAGCCACTTTCAAGCTCTATATAAAAGCTTCTCCCTTGTACTTGTTTTCTCATGAAGAATTATACAAATAGTTGAAACTAAAAAGTTCAATATGTATACTTGATACAGGGCCGGTCCATAGATTTTTGAGGTCCGGGGCGACGCCAAAAAATATGCCATAAGTTCATATAAGAAAATTATTCATTTTCACATGTAAGATATCGATAAAATTATACTCAGAAAAATAGTTCAAACTCAATAATTTAGAAACGCAGAAAGACTAATTTATTTTATATCAAGAGAAAGAAGCCAAAAAACTCTGGGCTTACAAGTAGATAGACGATACCGCGGTGGTCATTGTTTTCCTTGCAATTGTACCTTGTGTTACAATCAACAGGGCTGGTCTATAAAATTTTCAAATGACAAAACCACCACTTCTAGTTAAATTTCTTTGTAATCAAACCAATTTTTATAAATTTATACTCTTATTAAAACATATATAAATATACCGTCTTAATAATTTTGGTGCCCTGAATTTTTTTGGGCCCCGAACAGTCACCCTGTCCACACTAGGCCTGGGCCGGCCCTGACTTGATATAGATATTATTTGAATCGTTTAAGTTTGATGTGTTGTGTACCTCACAACTACCCTATTTTAATATATATTACATTGTTGCTCTCCACACCCATGGAATTTTTTCGAGTAACGTGGAGGCAGAGACATGAGTGAATACATGATGGTACGCTACGCTGGCTCTTACAATCTGATCCACCACAATGCGTGAACAGAAGAAGCCCTGATTGAGGTTCTGATGAGAGGAATCTTAGAATCTCAAAGAGCCAAAACCCTTGCTGGCTAATAAGGTCAACTATTTTGAGCTGTCATCCTCTATTTTATTGCCGTCTTTTGACACCTGTTCCTGAACTTAAATTTACTGTTAACTTTTTTTATAAAATAAAAAAATTGAAGAAATTCAAAAACTCCATACGTCCACCCCTCCAACCACATTACCCAACCATCGCCGACGGTCCTCTCACCGTCGGCGGCGAAGGTTCTTTTCCATTCTCTATCTCTCTATCCTCACCCTTCTCTCTCTTCGAATCCTTACTACATCGATATCGATGCAACCCGTCAAAGAACAAAAAATGGGTCAAGTTTGTAATAAGAACAGAAATTTAGTCAAGTTTGAAATTTGGGGATGCGAAGATATCTAATCGCCCGGTATAGGCGAAATCTGAAAATGACGCGACGGTGACAACAAAGATTAAGATCTGGAATGGTTTGGAGATGCAAGAACAGCTCGATAATTTGATTTAGATTCGCCGAACAGAGAGAGAGGAAGAGTGAGAAGTCGAAAGTGAGGAAAGGAAACCTCGTCGGTGGTGAGGAATTGCAGCCGACATGGATGATGGGGAGATTGGGATTGCAGTTGGGTTTTTGTTTTGTTTAATTTATTTTATAAAAGCTTCAACAGTGTTAGATGTATAGGGTTAAATTAAGAGAAAAGTGTCAAAAAACTAAATCAGAGACAAAAAGGAGACAGGGAATTGGGCACAGTGGCTCAAATATGTCAACTAGGACTAACGGATATTAAAGTTTTCTTCAAGAGAGATGCCATAATTGATGTGGCAACCGAGTCATTAATTTGACTCTTTTTTTTCTAGCAGTCATTTTATACAACGAATAAAAATATAGTCGATTTTATTATTTAATGTGCGAGATCCCACAATTTATCAATTGGATACAACTTTTAAACTATTTTAAATTATTATTTTTCCTTAAAACTATAGTATTGGGTCTCAATATAGAACAAAATAATATAAGTAATGCTAAGGAGACTAACTATATGAGATCAAATCAAATCTCTTGCACCCAAACAAAAAATGTGACTGGGATCGATGATCCTAGTTGGTGAGTCTGCTTGACTGTGGCCACGGGCAGAGAGTGAAATTCCCCATAGCCTCTCTGGGCCCAACATGGATGGATAACAGTGATTTGCCACCAGTTGTCCTTCTTTTTAAGGGAAAAAAAAGGTTGTAGCCTTTCTATGGCCCCAATTAATGATTGACATTTGTTTATAAATTTAATTTTCATAAACTTAATATGTGTTGAACAATGATTAGGGCTATAGAGGGGCCACACCCATTTTGGATGCAGAAGATTTGATCTTCAACTATATGAACCAAATTTCATAAACCATATGACATGGTTGTTGATGATTTGATAATTTACTTGATTAACGTACTTATTTTCTATTAGTGACACATAACATGATTTGCAAATTTGGTCTAAAAAATTGGTTTACTTACCATTGATCAAATAATAATTTAACATGTCCTTGGAACGAAAGAAATTTTGGCATCAACTTCTTTCTGTTTTTTGTTTTTTTAGACATCTTCATTAAAGATCAAATACAGGGATTATTTTTTAAATTATATTTTGTAAACCAAATGATGGACCGTTGATGGTTCAATCTCGTTTTTAATGATTTAAAAAAAGAATTTAATCATCAGCTGACACATCATATAATCTACAAATAAGATTTAAAAACATAATCTCTAGCATCACCATAATTTTACTTTTAGACTTCGTTGGGCAAGAGATTTGAAGTCCTACGCAAATTAATGTTTTAGATTTCCTATGAGGGCGTTTCACTTTAATCTAAACCCTAGTCAAATAATATGTCATAACTAGTCCACCACCTTGAGCTGTCATCCTCTATATATTTTAGGCTTTTTATGTTTTTTTTTTTTTTTTGTAATGAAGTTAGAAAATAGTTGTGAGCTAAAATTCATTCTTAGATTTTCCATGGGGAAATTTCACTTTTAGATTTTCTACAGAAGTGTGTTGGCATCTATCTGTGTGTGAAATCGTATATGCACGTTATTAGAGCATCTCTAATGAGAGGGACTCTCACCACCATCTTTAAAGACTTATTTAGGTACTAAAGAGATGTTTTGAGTCTTTAAAAGAATATTATCTCCAATGAAAAAATCTTTGTAGTATAAACCCTAAACTTGATAATTATATAAAAAATCCTAGGTTAAATCTGGACCGTTTATTTATAATAAAAAAAAAATGTGAGACTCAGCTTGCAGCTGCATCAGCAGCTGTCTGGCGACTAGCATCCACCCGCGCTGTTGGAGGAAGTGGATGAGCTGCAACATCAATCAAACCCAATATTTGGAAGAAGCATGCAACCTTTGATGTGGGTGGGTTTCCATCCCCACTCAAAGGTGTCCCTATATATAGTCCTCAAATGTGAGGAAAATTTTGAGTACTCCAGCCAATTCCTATACTATAGGGACTGGAGCTCCGCCCCACTGGAAGCCACAAGGTCTCTAAATTTAAAGACATATGGTGGTAGAGGGTGGTAAGGACTCTATTTAGTGACTTTACTGGAGATGCTTTTATCTTTTCTTTTTCTTGTATAATATACGTGAAAAAAAATAGCGTAGAGGTATTTTTTTGTATACATGGACACTTTTGAGAATGTGTCATATTGTACATTAGAGTAAAAGAAAATTTTGAATTCCACGAGCCCCATATGTTTGCCTTTGCCATCCTCATTCCTTGTGAATGAATGTATTGATGAAGTTTTCGATAACCAAATTACCTCTAATATAAATTGAAACAATTATAAAATCAATAAGGATACATAGTTGAATAAAGAAAACATTTTAATTTCTTATATATCTTATTGATGTGCAAAACAAACAATAAAATTGAAATAGGAGTCGTTCCCTGACTATCATTGTGAAGTGTCAACATTTGCAAGAAAAAAAAATGGAAAGAGAATTATCCCTTTCTCATTCCTGAAATGGACACAAGAAACCACTGAAACAGAAAAATTGGATAATTTCAGCCAGTTTTCTTATACCAAATCTGAATAATTAATATACGAGTGTCCACAATTAAAATAATCAAATATTAATTAAAAAAACGCATCTGGTTTCTGTGTTCACACCATTTGTGAAAAATGAAACACGAAAACTGAAAACATCCTCATCATAATCTCTCTAGACAAGAATTACTAACAAAACCAATAAAAATGAGAAAATTTCCTCCACATTAGTCCTAGCTACAATGAACCTACAGATCATGACAACCCATGAAAATTTCAAGACAACTAAAGACTTAAAAGACTCTAGTAGCAACAACAATATTGAGCAGGACACATGAGTCATATGACATGATAGAGACCTAGAAAATAAAGTGACATTGATGTCTCTTCAAAATTTAACTACGAGCATGCCTGATGGCTGGCAACACTGGCACTCCAAATATGCAGGGTGAACCTGTTCCCACACTGTTGAAACTAAAGCACTACCCCGCTGAAGCTCCTGATCCCGCAATCCCACTAATTTTTTGATCTTCAACAACATCATCCTCGTCATCATCTTCACAACCATCATCATCGTTGTTGTCATGGCCACCATCACCAACATCATTCCCGATCTCATTCTTGTTCATGTCCCCGTTCTCGTTCTCGTTCTCATTCTCGTTCCCATTGCAAGCAAATGGGGGAATCAAAATCTCATCATCAAGCAGGACAAGCTGCAAAGTGAGCCTGCCATTAGACCTATGAGCACTAAAGTACTCATGATGCTTAACCTTCTCCTCGGTGAGAATCAACCTCCCATCATCTGTGTAATGCCTCTTCAACACCCAAGGCATATGAGAAGGCAAGTTCTCAGTGCGTGCTAGCAATTGTATAGGAGGTGGAAACTCCTTGTTCTTCAATGCCCATTTTTGCTCTCTCCTACTCCTTACCCTCTGACCAAAACTACCATCATGCCCATCACCACCGCTACCGGTCACCTTCAGTCGCGGTTTATGATCATCACAGTCCTTGAGCACGTCAACCGAGCTCTCCATTCCAATGTAGTCCCCGGTCAAAAGGGAAGAGGAAGTTGGGGATAGCAAGTCAGAGAGCGTCATGTTGCAAGTTTTATGAGATGGGTTTTTCTTAGGGCTTGAGACCAAATTCTAGAGGGGTTGGAGTTTGGTCTTGGCATCGGTGAGGCTCATTGGGGATCTGCGTAGTGTTATTATACAAGTGCATTGTGAGATAGATAGGGACAGTGTGACAGGGCTCATTTGGCTGATGTGTTTAAATGAGGGTTTGGAAATTACAGAGTTGAGTGTGTTGGATAGAGAGAGCCAGCTAATATTTGCGACATAAATATTTGGGTTTATTCAGGAAGCAGAATCTGATAAATATTGCAGTGTTGCACTATGACTTGCCTGGAAAATTTCAAAACAAGAAACCAAAAGAAAAAAAGGAAAACTAATGAAAAGGGACTTGAAAACTTTAAGTTTTAACGATAAGGACAAAATAAAGGATAAAGTGAATGTACCATGATTGATTTTTTAGTGTAAAAATGTGGTTTTTTTGTTAAAGTGAACAGTACCGAGAGTTTTTCGTTAAAGTTCCCAAAGAAAAATTGTTAAGCCTGTGTAAATGTTTAGTAAAGCCTAAAAAGTGATAGCTCAAATAAGTAAAACCTAAAAATGATACAACAAATTAAAGGGTTGTCAAGAAAATGTTACAAATTGTATTGTAAGAAAAGAAATAAAATTAATTGCCAAACTGTGAATTTAAACAATACGCATTCAAATTTTGTTTAGTATACTATTATTCTAGACTTTAAACTTTCAATTTTTTTAAAAGTATGGTGCATAACATGTGATATTGTTATTTTCAAAATCATTTGAAAATTATTAACGTATGGCGTTAAGTTGTTTATCTAGACTATAAATTCAAATTCATTTGAAAATTCAATGCATAACACGTTAGATTGTTAACCTAAACATAAATTCAATTTTATTTGAAGATCAAATTCATTTTACACTAAAAATATAAAAATAAAAAGTCTTAAACTTTGAATTTAGTCTTACACATGGTTGGGTGGATTGCACGTGTACTTTCCATGGCATGCATGGATATATGTATGTATTCATACTGTTGTCTGTTTGGGGACCTCACTATAAATTGTATTTGTATCTTGCGTACCATTGAGATGATTGAACTTATAGTATCATGATCAACGACCCAATATGCATAACTATATAACAGTCAACGACAAGCATATTATATAAAATTAGAAACAAAATACTAAGTTGGGAGAAGCACAAAACATTAAAGGAAACGTATACGCGTCGGAAGAGCTCGAGAGACAAATATATATGCAGGTGAACAGATCAGCATGCAACCTGCAAACTAGCATCTCCCTACTTTCTATTTCTTAATTTTATCGTTTGCTTCAACCATAATTTGTAAATAATTAAACACAGTTAATAAATAAACTAACTAATATCATACTAATGTGAGACCCTAATTTTGTGTGTGAGACCCTAATTTTGTGATGGAGGTGAAAAGAAAATTGTTTCTGCATTTCCTTAATCAATAAGATTACATTCTGGTGTGTATATATATACAGGTAAGATAGATCATTCTAGCTAATGACAACTCATCTAACTAATTACAGTTAGAAAAACTAACAGAAAATTATCAACTTGGTTTTACAATGCTTGTAACATGCCACATTGCTTAGGGGAGTGATCCTTAAATGTATATTCCCATCCCTACCTAGCACGAGGCCTTTTGGGAGCTCACTGGCTTCGGGTTTCGTAGGAACTCCGAAGTTAAGCGAGAAGGAGGCCAGAGCACTCCCAGGATGGGTGACCCACTGGGAAGTTGCTCGTGAGTTCCCAAAAACAAAACCGTGAGGGAATGGTAAGCCCAAAGCGGACAATATCATGCTACGGTGGTAAAGCGGGCCTGGGAAGTGATCTGCCCCGGGCTGGGATGTGACAATGCTACCCTTAATGGTCCTTTGATCCATAGTGATAGCACATGTCTGCATCCATGGTTTCAGGTACTTTACCCTTATTCTTGAAGTTTGGGGCCTTGGGAAAGAGGTTAGGGTGCTTCTGGGCTCGGTTTCCTCCCTTAAATAGGTGCTTTTGGCTGTCTCTACCACACCTATTTTGGCTTTTTGGGTGCTTGTTTGTTCTATAATGTGCTTTAGGGATAACAGTCGCCCTAAGAGGTCAAGCTTGATGATTTTTTTATCAACGGTTGATTATGCTTTTCAGCGAGAAGTAAAATAGAGATCAAATCCGAAAACTTGGTGAACTTCTGAGCCCTATATTGTTGCTGCAGGACAATAGAGAAGGTCAAATAGGTGTTCTCTAGGAGATCCTCTTCGGCCAAGGTCTCGTTACAGAACTTGAGAAGTGATCGGATTCGACAAACTTCATAATTATATTCATTCACAGACCTAAAGTCTTGGAAGCGCAAATGCTGCCAGTCATGTCTTGCTTCAGACAAGAAGATGTCATTTTGGTGATCAAAGCAATAAGCCAAAGCGACCTAGAGCTCTCGTGGATCTTCCTCAGTAAGGTACTCGATTTGCAGTGCATCATGAATGTGTCTTCGGATGAAGATCATGGTAGTGGCTTTCTCAGCTTTGCCAACCGGATTGTCCTTCTCATATTCAATGGCGGGACGCAAATTCTTTGCAATGAGGTGGAGCTTCACATCTTGGACCCACTTAAGGTAGTTTCTTCCAGAAACCTCCATAGCGGTAAAGTTAAGTTTGTTCAAATTTGACATGTTCCTATCACAAAATAAATGGATAAGATGTGGTTAGTGTAATGGAGAAAAAATCAATCCATTCACATATGAGTAGAACATTCAGGTTCTAATAGATATGTATTGGTTTAAATTTGCATGAAAAAACTTCGGGTTTTCATAGGTGACACTTTTAAGGAAAACTTCAGGTTTTCAAACAAGGCATGTTTCTAGAAACTTCAAGTTTTGAAATAATTATGAACTTCAGGTTCATATGTTCCTGCAGATCAATACAAATATATATATACAGAAATATGCAATCTGAAAATGTGCAAATAGAACTTCAGGTCTAGAATTATAATTGAATTAATTATTTAGACTTCGGGCCAAATTTAAAGTGTGGGTGAAAAAATAAAACCTAAAATGCCTAAAACTTAGGGCAAAAAATAATGGGCCAAAGCCCACGAGTGGGCTGAGTGAACTGCTGCCATGAGGTCTAGGCCCAAAACTAGGTTGGGGTAGGCATAGGCCTAGCATACAGGCAGGCTCAACATTATAGAAAATGGGTTGCAGGTGCAAGCCCAAAGACAGAGGCCCAAACGGGCTCTGATCTAGTGCTTCGCAAACACGGATGCACCAGCGCATAGGCTGGGATCCGGTGCAACGCATTGCATGGAAACCGTAATAGCCACGCGGGCTGTGGTCCTTTGTGGTGCGAGACACAGAAGCATAGTGGCCAAAGAGAACTGGTGTTGGGCCGAGAAGAGCTCTAAAGCCCAAAGGGCTGGTGCTTATCAAGAACAGGTCAAGCCAAAGTGGGTTTGGGATTTGAACCATACACCCTATCGCTAGCTAGGTGAACTCGTCGGAGAAAGAAACTGGTGCATCCGTTTCAGGCGATCGTGTCGTGGTGCAAAAATCAAGGCAAAAACTGTGGGTTTGATGGCAACCCATAAAGGTAAACGGAGAGTGGAAACTCTCAACATTTTTATAAACCCTAGAAAAATTAAATTGGAATTAAAAAAAAACCAATGAGATTCGAATGAATATCGGTTAAAAAATCATTGGGGGGATGATTTTCAAGTCTTTGAGGCGATGATCCAAGAGCAAGGTTGGGCTGTAGGCCTACCTGTGATGGTGGAGACGTCATAGAAGGTGTCGGGTTTTCTAGGTTTTCAAACCTGGAGCCCGTGGCTTTGGCTTGTGGTCTCACGGCTCAAAGAGAGCTCGATGACAGCGCGGCTTCAGGCCACTACCATCGAGGTTCGAAAAACATAGAAATTATTATGTTTTTCAATTTCCAGATTTCAAATTAATTCAATTTTATGCATATTCAATAGATAATTTAATGTATGAATGGATATATGATGCAATTCATGGCAATATCAATTCACATAAGTCAACAATTATGAATATAATGCATATGCAATTTATGTACAATCTAAAATTCGAAAAGCGTAAAGTTGGGTCATGCATTAAGGTGAATGTTCATGCTATCAGGGCTGCAAAAATATCGAGATAAAAACCGTTGTTTTGAAAGAACCTGATTGTATGATGATATTAATGAACTGGTTTGATGCAGAAAACTTCCACGTCAGATTCCTAAGTGCAGCGATATGAGCGTGCTGATAACATGTTGTGGCCTATATTTAACTGACAGGAAGAGGGGCCGACGGCCAGCAACACAGAAAAATTGAGAGAGATGTGTTTGTAGGGTTATGTAGAGGATGTGATATTCCCCATACGCAGTGCTTTTATTTATAGTAATAAGAGAAAAGAAATCATTCTCGTCCAAAGAATACAAATCCTAATAGGAAAGAATAACTAGAATCAAATATAATCTAGGATTTACACAATCACACTTAAATAAGAAGTTTATAACAAACATTCTGTTTTTCTACCTTCTTTTACGCGTAATGATAATTATAACCTCATTATTCTGGTGTTCTAGGGTTTAACCATTTGTGTTGCTTGGCACATCATGAATTTTAAGTTGTAGATAGCTGGCGTCTTTTGAGATTGTGAACACGAAAAATTCTTGAAACGAAAGAGACAAGAACAACGTGCACAAAATAATATTTGTATTAATGATTTTGGGTTACGATCTCTCTCAAATTTGATCATCTGATTCGATCTCCGTAAGGTGTTGATTTGTGGATTGTGATGCTGATCCAAGGGCTGTCGAGGCTTGATCTCGGATGAATGGTTGGAAGTTTCTTCAAATGGGCATTTAGGCTTGATTTTGAAGGTTGATGGATGAACGGATCTTTCAAGGGCTTTTGAGCTTGATCTTGAAGAACTGTTGATGAACGGATCTTCAAGGGGCCTTTGAGGCTTGATCTTGATGAACAGTTGATGAATG